GGTTAAATAATCTGACATATACCTCTAACCCAATGAGGAAGGCATAATTGAACAAGTGGCCTGGTGTAATACCAGAGAGAAGCTAAGGAATAGAGAAAAGAAGATTTAAAAAAACTAAAAAAAAAAAAGCTCATCTTCTCTAAAATACCATCAGATATGAACTAATTTGAGTTGTAAACTAAAACGCACACATATGCACAAACATAAACAACAACAACAAAAAAACACCCAAGAAAGCAGCTTAGCAAGCCAGTGAAAGGTGGGTGTGGGGACGGATGGTGCATGGTTTTCCTACTCTTCTATTAGCAGGTACAAGCATCCTGTCTCTGTACCAACCTGTTCCTGTCCTGGGCTCCAGGGAACAGTCAGCTTTGTTCTCCGGGTTCCTTTTTCCCAATTCAAGCAGTAAGAAATTATTTCAGCTCCAAATAATAGAAACCTTGATTTGTTACAAGTCGTTTGTTTGTTTTCTGAATTGGCAGTCCCAGGAAAGCATGGGAATGAGATTTGATTGGTGACATGATAAAACAATTATGCAATCTATAATGTCAGATTCATTCTAAAGCCTAATTTCCTGAGATTATAAAATAACGCATCTTTTTAAAATTCAGGCCACCTACTTCCAGCAGGACAAGAGGAGAGCCTCCGCCTCATCAGAGAACCGAGTCCTTCCATTCAGTCCTATGAAGGCCAGTTTGGGTCTTGTGCACATCCCAGACCTGCCACAGTGGCCAGGGAAGTGTCCTGCACTAACTGCCTTAGACAAGCCAGGACTAACTCCTGGAACTGGGGATGGAGTCCACTTCCCCAATCACACGAATGTGGGAAAGGAAGTTTCTGGAACAAAATGAGAGTTCTGGTACAATAAAAGGAAGAGACTGCTGTCCAATAGGCCATCAATAGAGCATCATACTTCTCGCCCACTCCTGACTAGGTACCTAGTGCTAAATGCTTTAGTTGATTACTAACCATATGCTTTAGTGGCCCATAACACCACTTACAGTTTTGAGGTAAGTGACTACTGCTGTGGGGAAATGGATAATTAAAGATGAAGTTAAAGATGCTAAAGAAATTTCCTACATGAACTCAGGACCATTATGTCGATCCGCAGTTATGCACACAGGTACTTTGTCCAGTGTAGCTGCTCACAAGTGTAGCACAGGAAAAATCTGAACAGTGCAGGCACAGCAGGTGTCTGATGTTCTGGTCTTACAAACATTCACCACCTGAAGAGTGCCTGGTACGCTACTGAATAAAAAGGCAAGACAGGGTTATCGAAACAAGGTCCAAGAAAGTGGCCAGATCATTAGCATTGTGAAGACACTTAACACAAGATTTTATAGCGCAGGGCTATTTGGTTGAGGCACTAAGTAATTCAAGTAACAGATTAAGGAAACTCAAAAAGAGGAAAAAGAACAAACCCTGTAAGGATTCAATTAAGTACGCTGTTTACAGATCAGTATTCTTTCCATCGCATCATACTGTCTTCGGCAGTAAAAGCCAAAAGCCCTCTAGATGGAGTTACCCACGAAAGAGCTTTCACTCATTCCATTAGAATGGAAACTAATGTTTTTACAAGCTGGAGTACAAGGGAAAAAAAAGGAGCCCTCTCAATATCTGATACTGTCCAAGTTTTAGGCAAAAAAAGGAAAGAAGGAAGGAGAAAATAAAGCTTTATCAGGACAATAAAAGATTCACTTCATATTCTTAGAATTCTTAAAGGGTTTGCTGATTTTGAAAAATTTGTAACAACAAGGGCATAGGATCAAGTTGCTTGCATGTACCCACTTAATTTGATTTAATATTATTTTTCATACTGAGGACAATACTAATAATTACACTTACTAGGTGGCTGTGAAGGATTAAACCACGTATGTGTCCGGATAATGATATGGATGTGTATTGTGTGCGTGTGTGTTTCAAGCTTGCTGTTGGGCATATAATTGACAGTCAATAACTGTTACACATGTCTTCCCACTTACCCCACCCTGGTCACCAAACTGAATAATGTCACACCTAAGCTGGCTTGCACACGTTCCTTAATTAAGAAATCGGGAGGCCAACAGAAAGTTTTGTGTTTGGAAACTGTGGAGTGCTCTGTTCCAAAACAAAACTCGTATTCGCTTCAGGAGTGCAGATCTGGGAGGACTGCGTTTTTGAGGGGAGCCTCAGACTGATGACAAGGGCGGTGGTCAGAGGACTACACTTAAAGAGACACAGACAACTGCATCGTACGAGAGCGGCGACGGCATCATCTCCTCAAACTCTGGTAGTTAAATAGAAAAATACACCGAAGTACCAAACTCACTTGTAAGGATGTTATTTGGTATATCTAGATGAATACCTTTCGGTTGCCTTTATAAGTAAAAAATAAGCAACACACTATTTTTATTATCCTAACTTTCCTACAGATAAACTATTACAATTAAATTCGGTTTCGTTTTTTGACAGCCTCCACCTCCCACTTGAGTTCCTGTATTTTATACTTGGTTGTTCTTTCAGAACTTGTCATGGACAGTTTCAATGTGTCTACTGACATATATTGCTTCAAGAGTTCCACAATTAATCCTGAAATTATGCCGTTTCCATTTCCAGAAGGTCTGACATATTTTTCTTTGCCATTTCATAGAAATAGAGCTGTCTCAATTTGCAGAGGATTACTAAAAAAAAAGAGCTAGCGTATTATATGGACAATCATAAAAACTGAGACGAGAAAATAACCTACATTCTCTAAAACCCATTTGCGTCACCAGATCATTAGGTACGAGCACTTCTAAGGCATGTGGGGAATTAGCTGCAAGCTTGAAATGCCACTTTCTATAATCATCTTTATTTCTTTCAACTGAGCTGGAAACTTCCATCTCACTTAACGGATTTTAGAGCAAAAAGGATCAGAAACATTCCTTCTGGCCCATATCCTTTTGTGTCTTTTTTTCCTCTCTTGATGTTCTCTTATTACTCCAGAATTCTTATTCCTCCCCTCACCAAAAAAAAAGAATAGGTTGAATTTTTATCCCTTTGTAATGTTTCATTGGACCCCGTAAAAATCACTTAACTGAAGTGAATTTTCACTTATTTCTAAATTTCTCAGTTCCTGAAGAACACTACATTCTTTAAATTCTTTTAGTTAGAAATTTATATTCCAGGTTTGCCTAGAGTTGGAATTTCGGATGGCTTAAAGGCATTTTGAATTTTAAGAGTGGCCTGTGAGGTATGTTCAGCCTTTCGAAAGAGAGATGCTTTTCAGAGAAATGCCCTAAAATTTTCACATTCCTATAGACTTAGGCAATTTCAGAGAAGCTTTCTAATAAATTTTAAATTAATAAGGGTTCCAAACACTTTCATCTTAATGGTCTCACCCAGACGCTAGCCATTTAAATTTCCATGGGAACTTGGTGTTTACAGAAATTTGTGAATCCTGATGACTTGTTTATCTATTTGAAGTTGATTTTTCTAAGCTACGCTTTATTAATACATTGGAAGGACTACTTAAGTTTTTTTGAAGATTTAGACCAAAATACTGTTAGATCACTTCGGTCTTCACTTAGGTGGTAACTCTAAGGAAGAGTTTCTCAACCTCGGCATTTTGGGCAGGATCATGCTTTCCTGGGGGGTTGTCCAGTGCAGATTAGGGTGCTTCGCAGCATCCCTGGCCTTCACCCACCAGAGGCAATAAGCACTCCTGGCTCACCCTCCCACTCCCCACTACTTCTGACAATCAAAAAATGTCTCCAAACAAGCCAGATACCCCTGGGAAGGGGGAAGGGGTTGGATGGAGGCAAAATACCACTGCTACTCCCGTTGAGAACTGCTGCTCTAAGACATGCTATTTTGTACATCATCAAAACCTAAGATTCTACAAAATGCCTCAATTAAAATTTTTACAAAGGAAGCCTATAATGGAAAACGGAAAAAAAGTGGAAACGAAATGTTCTGGAAGGGGACAAATATTTTAAAATATAATCAAATTGAGATTATAATTATAAACCACTCAGTTTCTGTGCAACAAGGTCTGATTTCAGCTGAACCTCAGCTAATTTCAAAGTCATTTCTCTATAAAGGGCACCACTCACTTTTAGGTTCGTCCCCAACGTTTGCTTTTCTCTCTGAAGTTCTTCTCTGTAGGGATGGATGTTTTCTTTTCTGTCTGATAAAGCAGCCACAATGCCACTACTCTTTTCTTTGCTTGCTTCACACCTCTGCACCAAGTTGTTTTCAACTTTAACTAAGGCAGAAGAAAGAGAACCAAGGATAACCAATTCCTTCTCCAAAGTTAATGCCAAATGATCAATTAGGAAATCCTCACTTCCTAATTTTAGATGTTTGAAGAAACAGTTTGTAGGGAGAACTCTAATGAGATTATGAAGGCACTGGAACAAAACTGTTTGATTCCTGAGGGGGGAAAAAAACAAAACACAAACACAATATTACAAAACTCAGGATAGCACCAAGAGGTTGTGTACAACATACTGTAGTAATCAATTAACATTCATTTATAAACACTCTAGTAATGAATAGAACCGATAATGCATGCATGTGATCATTGATGTAATTCAGACTCCAGCAATCAAAAATACACCAAGTCAGTTAATAGTAATGAGGTTGTTTCCTGATTAATTTTTCTCTTAAGTAATAAGATCAATATGGTATTTTTAAAATTTCATTGTGGGGGAGCAGTAAGAAAAAAAATCTTAAAATAATCACTAGGCCCTAATCACCCAAAAAACAGAAACCCAAAAACAAATGTAAAAGTAAAAGAGCTCTAGTTTTTAAATTAGGCCACCTGTCCATTTATGCTATACCAGACGATAGCCGAGACGTGTCCCACGATGGTGTAGACCTCTACTGTGGGACCGCTGCTGGACCACATGTTCAGCACACACATCTACACCAACTTTGCTGGACCGATTCCAATTTGATGTGCATTACCTGGAATAGACTATTAAAATCCCTTCAAATGGTGTTCTTTGTTTCCAGCTGAAGAGTGTCCCATACAAACTTTCTGGCCCTTTACAAAAGCAAATTTCTGGAAATCCTTTGATGAATTCGCATTTCATGTGTTCCAGGAGCCATGCCTTCATTGAAGTCAGGGCATAGCTCGGCGATGTGATTTGAAAACAAGTTTTGTGCAATGTTGTGAGAAGTGCAAGGAGATCTTCCATGTGTTCTACAAGAAAAACATGTCACAAGCTCTGTCATTAAACTCTATTACCAAGTAAAGGGAGTTCTTAAAAATTTGATTCAATTAACTATATGATAAAAAAAAAGTACCAACAAATATTACCTATAGGTTTCCTTGGAAATGTCACTAGGTATTTCTCATTTGAAAAATCTTCAAGACTTATAAAAAATCTGCCACATGGAATACAACGATGCTCAGAACAGTTACCATTTTCTTTCTCCCTAATTTGTAGTAGCACGATGCAACAAAAATGAACGAATGCTAAGAGAGGCGACAGAGGTGTTACAGCAGTAATGATCTGTACACATTCTTTTTCAGCTGGTTGTTCACAAACCAAGCTCTCCTTTTCCTCTTCTTTACCATCGACGGTCAACTTGATCCTTTTTGCCTCTGATCCTATTTCATATGGCACTGAGCATGGTTCTGGAAAAGAGTCCCTACTCAACATGATCACCCTATTTTGACACTTAATAAGCGGAGAGCAGGAGCTTTGGGGCTGATCCATTAACAATGATAAAGTCACCCGGTTCAGGGCCCTGTAAAACATTCAGTGTGTGGTTTAGTCTAAGAGTTCATTCTTTAAAATCAAATAGATGATTAAATGCCAGACAAACAACAACGAAATTTTGTTTTTTCCTTTCCTAGTAAACATCATTTCAAATGTAAAATGTATCAGAAAATTAAGCGTAAAAGTCAAAGACATTTGTAAAGATCCTATAAAAACATTTCCCAAAAAATAGGAATGAAAAACAATGTAAATATTCTGGACTTTGGGAACGTAATGTTTAACAAAGAAATGATAAATTAATGTCTGCTTTTTATTTTTGAAGTATATCCCACCCCCCTTTCTTTTAAAACAAGAAGAGAAACTACTCATTTTTTTAAGAGTTTATTTTGGTAATAATTTAGAATGCAAATACCTCTAAAGGAAAAATTGCATTTTACACTCTCCTAAATGACTTGAATAAAATCTGTTTTTTAATACAGAATATTATTTATCTCTCAGCAGTGATCTTTTGGATAGAATATTATTAAAATTAATTTCACGTGCTTCTATTTACACTTTTTAATATGGCTACTACACATTTAAAATTACATATGTGGCTTACACCACACTTCTGTCGGACAGAGCTGTTCTAGAACATCAAGATAAAGGCCTCATGTTAGAATTTACTTACAGCTTCGAAGAAGATGTGGTTTTCACTCCAACAACCAAGCTATCATCTATTACACGATACCATATCTTCTCTACTAGCTGTTCTGAACCTTGAGAATTGTCTGATGATTTTTCATCAAAAGTATGGACAGGATTTTCTTCTTTACCACAAAGAGTAACAAGACATTCCTTATAGAAAAACATGTTTAAATAACTGATTACAAAAAAAAAAAATATATCAAATGTAACAAAACTAAAAAAATAATGTAAATCAGCTTTTGACCAGACCTTAAGACTTACACATATTAAAATAATCATCTGTAATACCTTATATTATAGATTATACATAATTCACTAAAATAATGCTTATAAAACACATAATTAACTATATTTATTCAGAACAAAAAGCGTGGCCTGATAGAAAACCA